GGTTCCCAGAGTAAGATTTTGGTCACTCGGGGTAAGGTTAGGGCCTAGCCTGAGCTAGTAACTAGTGGGGCATGCGGGGCCAAATGGCCCCCAGTATATATGTTAAAATATGCCTTGGGCCGCTTGGCTCTTCATATCACCAAGGTCAAAACAGAAACACTTGTCACACATTACCTCTCCTCTCTTTCGTTTTTTCTTGTCCCCTGAAGACGACGATCGACTTGATTGACCACGTCCACCCTATTGGTACAGATATTTTAATATGCACATTCCTGCACATCCTTTGTGGCAAGAATGATTAAAGTTTCTTGAACTTACCTCAGTTGTACTTCCTGATGCGCCAGCTTCGTTTTCGTCACCGCCTTTACCTAGAAGAGAACGCGTATATTGATGCAGTATACCATGACCTCTTTTATTACACGTTTAGGCAGGAATTCTATCCCTCTCACAGGGCAACCGATAATCTTACTCAAGGTCTCTAACTCTCTGTCAATTAACGTACCACACAGCGCTATCACAACTGACAGCTATAGGGATGCTGATTCAGAAATTCAAATACGACGAGCTTTAAGGTCGATTTACATCACACAACTTTTGCCTAAAACCTTAACCGTCGTATGCAACCTGCCCACAACTTGAGTTGCACTGTGTAAATCAAGAACACAACTCCCCTACGTTGTTGTAGGCGTGTTGTATGTTGATTCACACAGTACAACTCAAGTTGTAGGCAGGTTGCACACGACAGTTTTAGGCAAAATTTGTGTGATGTAAATAGACCTTTACAGATAGGATTGTGGGCAATGGGGGCAATTAAAGCAAATACCTGATTTGGTTGTTTCACTGTCTTTTTCATCTTTGCTCTTTCCTTTTCTTTTCCTGAGAATAAAAGTACAAAAATTACATCTCTGTTGTGTCACGTTTTATTTCAATAAAAAGTTTGTTTTTAAGCTATAAAAGTTAAGAAGAACACAGAAGTATGGCATACCTCCAGACAGCAAATATAATGATGATAATAACAGCCAAGATGAGTAAGAACAACAAAGCAATATAAACAATTCCAGAAGATGAACTACTGCCACTTCCAGCACCACCCTCACCAGTTGATACAGGGGTGGTTTTCGGAATGAAATCCTAGGTGATAAATAGAACATATTTAGTTAATATTTTAAGCGTGTGGGCCTAGGGTAGGTACATATTAATAAGCTGTAATTGTTTGTGTCTGAACAGTTAAATGAAGAACAGTAGCTCAAACGCAAACCACAGAATGAGCAGGATGACGCTCATCTCACCATGCATAGAGAAAACAGTAACTATCTTCCACAATAATATTTTTCCTGGTTGGGGAATGAAGACATGCATCCCTTGAGTATAAAGAACAACGTTGTGACTTTAGATCAACCGTGATGAAGACTGGATTGTTGAAACGTTGGGTTGTGAATGTAATAACTTACGTTAGGTTTGCTTTTATCGACCAACAAACTGAAGCTACTCATATGGTTACATTCACAAGTTGTGTGTGTTTCATTGACATCAGCAACCTTACATCCTTTGTTGGACCACATCTCCCCACCGCTGGTAAAAACAAGGAAAATATACTTAGTGTGACTGGCGCCTGAGAAATCTATATAGGAGAACATCAATCTAAACTAAACTAACTTTATTTATACTGGATGGTTCATCAGTTCTAAATGGGTGGGAACTGGAATGCCCGGAGAAAGCTGCCATAACAGTGTTTGTCATGTGACTGATGCGAAAATACAGTCAGACATTGGTATCGTATTCTTACCTTGCGCTGGCATTTAAAAATACACAGTCTTGTTTAAAGTGACTCATTTCAGGCTAGAAAATTTGGATAGAAATAATTGACATTATTATCATGCATGATCATCATCACCAATAACGACACCTTAGATACTATTACCATCTTCACCATCACCACCATCACCACCATCACCACCATCATCACCATCACCATCATCACCACCATCATCACCACCATCATCACCATCACCACCACCAATAATATTATTTTTGTACCAACTTACATTTAAATGTGCAAGTGCAATTCTAATGGGAGGATCTAGGTCGCCAGTAATTTTTGGATAGACAGACATGGACATCAAATTTCCACTTTCCACGGTTTCATTACTACTGAAAACACAAAAGATTATCAGTCTTTATTACTTATAACTATTCAAAAAACGCCACAACGTACCCTTGTCCTTCTTCAACAGGAATACTCAAATTTCCAATGGTTTTAAATAGAACCCCAGACACGTGAGCCTCGACGTTAACACCTTGTGCGACCTCATCCAAAGCTGCGGGCGAGAGTGAAATAACGTTGCTTTGTTTCGTCCATTTGCGGATACGAGGATCAGAGATATTTGGAAATGTAATATCTGGTGATGGTTCTTGGATATCTGATTGGATTGTTCTTAACTCCATCACTGAAATGAAACATACAATTATAAATTCATCACAGAATTATTCTTCCTGTAGTAACACTAAAGAATAACAGATTGCTCTTACAGCACCTTTAGGAAGAACAGTTTAGAACTGATAGAGCTGTCCATTATAAATAAAGTTTGTTTAGTTTAGGTTTCCTCCTGTAGTAACACTGGATCAATAAGAGATGATCCTTACTGGAACTCTAGGAAGAACAGTTTAGAACTGATAGAGCTATCCAGTATAAATAAAGTTAGTTTAGTTTAGGTTTCCTCCTGCAGTAATACCAGATCAATAAGAGATGATCCTCACTGGATCTCTAGGGAGAAAAGTTTAGAACTGGTAGAGCTATCCATTATAAATAAAGTTAGTTTAGTTTAGGTTTCCTCCTGTGATAACACTGGATCAATAAGGAATGAAGCTTACTGGATCTCTAGGAAGGACAGTTTAGAACTGATAGACTATCCAGTATAAATAGGGTTAGTTTAGTTTCACAATACTTTCTGGCTTTCTTGCACCTACCTATGTTCTTAGTGATTATTGGCTCCTTTATCGGTTTCTTCACTTGGTATGATGCAGATAAGCCAAAAGCTTCGATCGCCTCCACCAATTCATATAAAGTTGATGGATTCTTCGTGCCCTAAATATTTTCATCATAATTTTTAAATCATAGTTATAGTCTCATATCCTAAACCGTTGATAGGACCAAGTTTCAGTAAGCGTTACAAGGCAGTAGATGTAGGGCAGGAAAAAAGAATTTTCTTCCTGGGAGCACAACCTGCAGACAAAAAAATTCCTGCAAACCAACGGAGTATTTTTGTGCTAAATCGTTCTCGCTGATCATGGTCTTAAATTCAAGGGATAATGTCTGTCAACTATATGTTGTTGCGCCCATAGTGGGACATGGGTGTTAAGGTTTCTTTCAAATTTTCAATAGCAAATCTTCATTCAAACGAATTTCCTTCAACTGTTCAACATTTCTTGCGAGCAGTGCTCGCGTGCTCGTCTAGTTTTTCCAGCCCTGGTCAACTGTTAACACTTATTGCTGCATGAAAATAAAAAAATATTAGAGATAACTTACTGCAATGGTCCTTCTCGAGGCTTGTTCCCAGTCCACGGCGTTGTTATCACTCATGATGTTCACACCAATCTTATTCAACTTCGCGACATGCTAAAATAACTTTCTATTGTTAGTAATTACAATTCTTAATTCCTCATTGGTCTCCAACCCTCCATATTATCTTATTATCTTACCCTTTGGGCATTTTTCCATTCTCTTGAATTCATCATATCGAGAATGTTGCTACAAGATTTCAGAAATGCCTACAAAATAAAAACACAAGCCATAAAATTAAAACCTGATAAGGAATAATAACTATAACTGATAAGGAATAATAAATCAGAAGATGTGGGGTGGTAGATATTCCAGAGAAGGCGAAGGACGCAAGGCTAAGATAGTGTAGACTTATAATAAGAAGAGATGAAGGAGAGCTGGTCAGAGACATTATGGAATGAAGAGATCAGAAGAAAATATGGGGTGGTAGATATCGCAGAAATGGTGAGAGAAGCAAGGTTGAGAGGCTTTACTCCCTACCTTTACATCATCCAAGACAATGGGTGGCCTGATGTAGTCATTAAACTTTGCCAAATGTTTAACCGTATCAGCAGCAAGTAACAAATCTCCTCCGAACATCGGAGCAATGTGTTTCCCTTTAACCAAAGCATCCTCGCTTCCATTGTCTTGTTCCGCTAAGGTTTTCTTCTGCCCAGTTGCTTGTTTATCATTATAACCGGTTGAAAACTCTTTAATCCGTTTCTTCATGTCTTCAATTGTTAAGCGTGGCGAATGAATGTCATTTAATATCGTGCCTAACTCTTGCATATCGCTCGAGCTACCGTTTTGGTTGGCCTGCATCGAACTCGGGTTTGTGAAACCTACAACGGTCTGTGAATCGCCAAGGTCCTTATACAAACTGTTCTGTATTGATATATCGCTTGTTTTTGGAGATTTGCTAGTTCGTGGTTCTGGGGGCTCGGTTGCTAAATTACCATTTATATTTTGAAATGTTAAGTTGTAGTCAGGATTGTATATATTATTATATCCAGAATTGGAATCGGTTGAATTTATAGATAGAGGTTGCGTGGTCATATTGTAGTCAGATGACAGTTTATTCCATGAGTCGTTAGTTACACGGTTATTTAGAGGATCGCCAATATTTTGCATACTAAAATCGCTGGCAGCTCTTTGATCTGGAAATCCACTATTGTTATAGGTATATTTATCGTTGTTTATCCCATTTGTGGAAGTGAAGTTTGTTAACTTGGAAGAGAGACGAGAAGGATCTTTGTTTGGTGTGTCTAAATATGAACCGTCGGTTGGGTTAGGGTTTAGTGGTGCGAGGTATGCGGATGAATTGTAGCGAGCGTCGGCCCCTTCTGTGAGATAGGTGGAGGAGTTGTTCTGGGAGTTAGCCCCTTGGTAGGTGGGTTGTGAGGTTGGTGATGAGGAATCATAGGTTGTATTGGGGTTTGGTTGGGTAGGGTAGTAGGAGGAATTGTATTGGGGGTTATCCCCTTGGTAAGTGGGTGCTGATGTATAGTAAGACTCTGAAGAGGATAGGTGAGAATCATAGGTAGAATTAGGGTCAGATTGTTTGGGGTAAGCTGATGAATTGTATCCAGGGTTAGCCCCATAAGTAGAACCATAAGTTGAAATGGAGTTTGGTTGCGTGGGGTTTGTCCCCTGGGTGCTGGGAGGTTGAGAATAAGCTTGGGAGGGGGGTGCAGAATTATATGATGGGCGTGTGGATGGAGGTGTTGTTGGAGGTGCTGGGGAATAGGAAGGGGGAGGGGCAGGGTTAGGGGCGGGATTATAAGATGCAGGAGGGCCAGCAACGGAAGGTGAGGTAGGGGATGGGGGGCTATCGGAGGATGGGGCAGGAGGAGAAGTAGGAAGATGATAGGGGCGAGACGTAGGAGTATCAGCCTGAGGGGGTGAAGGTGAATATGAAGTGGGTGAACTGGAAGGTGGGTCTTTAAACGATGAGTACACCCCAGGTAAAGAAGGTGGGGATAAAGGACGATGCGTAGGATTAGAGTCATCAAATGTTGGTGGTGAAATGGGAGGAGGGTGGGGTTGAGGTCGAGCTGATGAAGGTAGAGGTGACAGGGGACGAGGGGGAGGATTGTCTTCATATGATGATAGAAAGGAGGGAGGTGGGGGTGCCCCTACTAGATTTAATGATGATAGGAGGGAGGGAGGTGGAGGTGCCCCTACTAGACTTGATGAGGATGCTGGTGACGATGATCCAGGAGTTTGAACAGGCAAGGCTTTACTTTTGGGGCGAGAAGGTACTGCTAATAGATTAGAATTGGAGCTTTCTGATAATGGGGGTGTATGATCATCCACGGCATTATTGTCACTGTCACTGCTCTTTAAGTCTCCGGGTTGTGAGTCCTGGTTATCATCAATTCCAGTAAAATATGCATTTTTACTGTTTACAGGATTGGCTGTAATAGCATTATTTGATGTTTTCTCACTTCCATCACCATCTGAAGTTTGTCCAATGTTTGTGGAAGGATAACCCTGTCCGTCCTGCCCTTGGACTGCGTTCGAAGGATAAGCTTGTGCGGAATATCCACTGGAAGGATTGGCTTGTCTAGGATCACTGTTGTAGGATGATGTCGGGGAGAAATTCTGGCCTTGATTCCATACATCAGCTTGCCGTTTTGATCTAATACCATCCTTGAGTGATTTTGTAAATGAATTGTATACAAGGGAACGTTTTGACAAGGCTTGCACAGGATTGCGCTGCGGCTGAACACTCGCGTATGACGATTCTGACACCGGACGATTGCTCTGTCCATTCAGCAAAGTTCCTGAGTGATCCGCGTTTTTCCAGGTGTCCCCCAACAGTGATCCCCCATTGTGCCTCTGTAGTCGGGAGTGAAGTGAATTCGACAATGAACGTGATGCATCAGTTTGATAGGATTTTTGTTGATGGGGACTTGGATTGTTACCATACTTCTTAAGTGCACCATTAAGCCAGTTTAGTAACGTATTAGAAATTGTTTTGGGGCGTTTTGATTTTGACTTCAAATAGTTCATACCACGGGGGTCAGACGTAGGAATATAACCGCCCTTAGGAGGGGCAATGTTCTTACCACCGTAACTTGGTCCCTGTACAGGGGGATAAGTACTCGGATTTCGGCCACTCCGTGAACCAGGTGTTGGTATATGACTTCGTATATTATCCGGACCGCTTTTTAAGAATACGCCAGAAAGATCTGTTTCGTTTGTAACTGGTTGACCAAATTCACCCGAGACACTCACAGACACGGAAATATCATTTCGGTTTTGACCTTTCTCTATAACTGGATGCGGGTCGCGTTGAAGTGGATTAGAAACATGCTGAACGGGAGGAGTTTCGTGCTGTGCTTGATGAGCTTCGTGCTGAACAGGAGGAGTTTCGTGCTGAACTGGACCAGGAACGTGCTGCATTGGATGAGCATTGTGCTGAATTGGAAGAGTTTCGTGCTGAAGGGGATGAGTTTCGTGCTGGACTGGACCAGGAACGTGCTGAGGTAGACCAGGATCGTGCTGATTCAAGACATGATAAGTACCTGGTCGAGCGGGTTCCGAACTTGGCAATGACAAAGTATTGGGTTGTAAGAGGCCAATTTTATCAGCAATTGATAATGTATAATTCTTTCCACTTTTTATCTTGTTAATACCAAGTTCTTCTTGTGGTTTCTCTTTGATGTTGAGCAGTTGATTCGTTAGAGATAAAAGTCCTTTGGGACTTGGGTTAGGTTTGATTTCAGATTCATTTTTATGGATTAACTTCGGTTTCTTGTTTGTTATCAGTTGGTGAATCTTAAGTTTGTGAGAATCATGTAGTCTGGGACTGGTGTTCTTTGTTTTGTTCGTGTCTTCCTGTTTTACAAGGTGTTCGCGAAATGTGTGATGGTAGGTTAACTTTTGAAGTTTTTTCAACACTTCGACATGTTTGATGCCCGCTTTCGCTTCGATTTGCTCTAACGGAAGTTTTGCTTGAGCTTGGCTCTTGAACTGTTTCGCCTAAAAGATTAGTTAACACTAGTTTTAAATTTAAATGGAATAGAAGTCTAAATATTTCTTTGATAGAAGTGTGAAGTTTCAGTGTGGTAATCCTCCCTGGTGTTAACCAGGGCCTGTTCTCCCTTCCTTAAATGCGAGCGAATGAAAGGGAAATAGAACAAGATACTCAGACTACCGTGGTGAAAAATCTAGTCTTACCTTCTCATGTAGATCTCTAAACTCAAGCGAGGTACAGCCACTAAAATTGGGAACATCCCATGCCACCTTTTCATTTTCACTTCCCAAGCAACGCCGTAAACACTCGCCTATAATAAAATGAAACAACATGTTAGAACTGTAGTCCAACTGTATGCAAGGTAAGAATGAGACTTCTTAGTGGGAGTTGCTTTCCTTCCTTCCAATCACATAAACACAGTGGTATAAGAGGGCGTTGCTGGCACGGTGGTTAGTGCCTCTGCCTTTTCCTTCTATGACTGGGACTTGATCTGCCAAATATATGTGAGAAAAGTGTTTCCAGGTTGACTCTACCAAACACTGGAGGTTTTCTCTGGGTACTCCGGTTTCCTCCCGTGGTATCACTGAACAAATAGGGGACTGTCTCTGGACCTAGCTGGGAGGAACAATTTAGAAGTGATAGAGCTATCCAGTAGTGCAACTTACCCTGAGCGTTTCGTGGACAAGGCTGCCGATCAAGAGCACCATACAGCGTTAAGCTCCAACTGTTTTGATAATCAATTTCAGAATGGCAAACTAAGCTCTCGCCTTTCGATGATTTCATTTCAAAACCAACTTGGGACAACTTAAAATGTTCACTCGCATCTTCTAAGGTGGAATCCATCTTTCCAGCCCGTACAGCTTTCAATAACAGAGAACCAGTTTTATTTGCAGGACTGCCCTTTGATAACTTCAAGGTCACGTTGGCGACCAGAGGAGTTGGACTAAAAAAATGATGATTAATAGAATGATCCAATATGAAAGAATCTGGCATCAATTCTAAAATTTCTTACAACGAAATTTAATTTTTTATCTCGATATTTACTAAACTATAATTGTAAATTAAAAGAACTGAAGTGATTTACCGAAAACTGACGACTTCACAACTCTTGAAACCAATACTTGCTTTTAGAAGAATTGATATCTGAAAAAAAAGATATTTATAATTTACAATACAAGAATAGAATACAATTCAATACAAAAATAATGTATTATAAATCAAATTAAATAACTCATTTGGTAACGCTGCATCAATACGGGATGGATATTGCTGAACCTCCAGGAAGAACAGTTTAGAACTGATAGAGCTATCCAGTATAAATAAAGTTAGTTTAGTTTAGGTTTCCTCCTGTAGTAACACTGAATCAATAAGATATGATTCTTACTGGAACTTTAGGAAGAACAGTTTAGAACTGATAGAGCTATCCAGTGTAAATAAAGTTAGTTTAGTTTAGGTTTCCTCCTGTAGTAACACTGGATCAATAAGATATGATTCTTGCTGAACCTCTAGGAAGAACAGTTTATAACTGATAGAACTATCCAGTATAAACAATAGAGTTTAATTCTGGAACAATGGTAAAGTGAAGAACTTACAGCATTCTCTACACGTTCAGCAACATTTAAAAAATCAAGTGATTCCACATCGGCCAAAGGAGCTCTAAATTTCTCGTTGGTGATATTCAGTTGAATCGTTATCATCTTTTCACCTAAGAAAGAAAATTTTTACATAATATGCGACGCTTTGCTTCATATATATTCCTGGTATAAAATATCCCCCCATTTACTGTTATCCTCTTTTTACATGCTTCTCATTGTCAATGGTCAAATTTCTCTTCTTACCTGGCCCTATCACGGCAACGGGAATGAAATTCCGTCCTGAAAAACAGATTATAATAAAGAAATGCGGTCATACAAGTGAATTCAAATTCTAAAGAAATTACTATTTCAATTTTTGGTCTTGGTCAAGATAAAGAAAGGAGTTGCTAATCATCTTTCCTTGTAGCTGAAACACGCTTCCGGAGGGTATGTCACATAGAAATAATAGACATAGAATGCGTGCTCCTATCTCGCTTTGTCTCCACAAAATGGCGCATTGAAAAGGGCATTTTTACTCGGTTCAGACTCCTCCGGTGAAGAATTTCGCGCGGTTCCGAAACTTTTTCACGAGGAGCGAGGCTTTCGAGTTTTGTTTGAACATGTTCAATTCACGTTCAATTTGAATTCAAAATTCAAAATGGCGCATTCAAAAGGGCACGCACGGTAAAAAAGTGGAGACATGATTCGTCATCAGCGCGCATTCTATGTCTGTTATTTCCAGTGAACTCTAAGGGAACTGGAACGATAACTTGGCGGCCATCTTTGAAGCCACTCATGACGGCCGCCATGTACGTATGGAGTGGAAATCTTCGGACGACCTCAAATGGAACTGCCATATTGACTACATTTGCAAGAAAGCCGCGAAGCGTTTGTACGGTCTGCGCCTTCTTAAAAGAAATGCTTTACCTTCGAATATTCTGATCTCAACCTATTGTACACATATTCGACCAATTGTCGAATATGCTTGTCAGGTGTGGCATTATGGCCTTCCTCATTACCTGAGTGATCAAGTTGAAAAAATACAAAAAAGGGCATTAAAAATTATTTTCCCTGTAACTATCTATGCTGAATGTTTGCTTAAAGCTAACTTGATGACTCTTTACGAACGTAGAACTGTTCTTTGCAAGCGACTTTTTTCGAAGATGTTGGAACCCACTCATAAACTGAATGCCTTAGTACAGCGTAAAAGTCTTCAAACTTATAATCTGAGGTCTTATCCCAACTTATTAGTACCTATAGGTGTAGAACTGAACGTTTTTCGAACAGTTTCATTCCTGCTGCGTCTCGTGCTTATAATAATAAGTAAACTTTAGATTATTATCGCTATTTTTATCTAACTTACCTATTTTTACCTGTAAATATAGAATAGATTGAATACCTATGTTCTTATACCCTGAAATTCCAAAGTAATTCAGTTGTTACTGCTAGTTTGGAAATTTATAATAATAATAATAATAATAATTAGTGGAAATACGACACCGAAAAGATGTCTGTTTTCGACACTGAATAGCTGTATTTCAACAAGGAAAAAAGCTAAAAACTTTCAACAATACCTGAAATTTAATACAAAACATATTTCCAGAACGTAGAGCAGTTATAAAGTTCTTTTTTCAGGAGTCAAAGCTCGAGTCAAAGTGCGAAGTTTTTTTCGGCACGTTCAAACTTGTGTAATATTTTGAATATCAAGCTGTTACCCAGGAAGTTTTTGCTGTTAGTGGGTGTAAAATACTTAGAACTATCCAGGAAACCAGGTTTGGATCTTTTAAGTTGAAGCCTGTTGATAAAAAAGTGCTTTTTCTTGCTGATTTTCGCTCAAAAACAAACTTTTGACTGAATTTCCCGCTCCTCGAAACTCTCCCCAGTCCTTTTGAAAGTCAATTTATTGCTCGCTGAGCTCGCGAGAAGCGCCATCTTGGCTTCAGGCAAGTATGGGCATGTTTATCTGCAGTTAGCGTTCCAGTGTTATTACAGTTCACTGGTTATTTCTAGGGTATGTCACCATGGTTATAGAGTCTTGTCTTCGTGATTGAGACGTTAGCTTTAAAGGGGCAGTGTCACGGCGCTGATTGGCTAAAATAAACGGCGCAAAGAAACGTTTAAAATTAATGCGACACGTTTGGAAAAGATGCAGCAGCCTTCAATTTTTAAAACAAAGCAAGGATGTCCTGCATAACGAAGGGATTATAAATAGTATATCGTATTTCACTCCTAACTTGATTAATTGTTGGCAGACAGTTTTTCAAGTTCGCGCATATTTTGGATGCGCAGTAGAACCGTGACACTGCCCCTTTAACTAGTACGAAAACGAGGCTCAATAACCAAAGTGACATACTTTCCGGAAGCGTGTATTGCTAAGGACGCAGCCACAGAATAAAGATCAGTAACAGAAGGGCCACTCAGCGACGCAACGTGTCCTCGTTTTTTTATGCAAAAATATGCAGTTTACTGGCCAGAAGGCGGAGCAGCCAGCCAGTACAGCGTGTTTATTGGCTAGAAAATGTCATTGACTGGCTAGGAAAATGGCGGCCAACATGCGTAATGCGACATGCGCGAGGACAGAAACTTCAAAGCTTCCGACGTAAGTGGCCCTTCTATATGGATCTTTATTCTATGACGCAGCTCAAACGTGATCGCGGCAGCGCCTCTGGCTGACACCATACGACAGTTATGGTGGAATGGTAAGTTTCTGCTCATTGGTTTTATTATCAAAAAGGCAGAGTGATAATAAGAAGTTGAACATACTGTAATTCATATTCTGCGGCCTATCAAGCAGCACATAGTCGGACAATATTCCCAAATCCTCAATCTTGACAGGTTCACAAGCTTCATCTGTAGGACAATGCACGGAATAACAATAGCTACCGACTTTGTACGCCACATTACACCAATGCCTTCTACAGCATTTCTCCACGCACTTCACGATCGACGCAACCCGACCTCGCAGCTCAAACGTCGCTAGCTTCCGTCCGTGTTTTAAACGCACATTCCGTAAAACTACCTTGTGTTGACACATGGAGGTCTCTTGTTCTTTACTGCTTGCTTTAAGAGCAGATGATGGTAATTTTACATTGGGAATTTGTAGCGTTTGTTTTGATATATCGTTTGGGAAAGATGGGAGGAAGGATGGAATGCTTTCATGCAAATGAAAACGTTTTGATGGAGTCTTGGCGGAAGATTTAGAAATGAGCTTCCTGTGAGGCCTTGATTCCTGTCCTGTTTTATCTTTGTCATCTAGTGTGATTTCTTTCGATATGCCATTTGATATAGACGGTATGAAGAAAGGGACACTTTCCTGCAAATGAAAGTTTCTTGCTACAATTTTCTTGTAAGGATAAGACTTAAGGTTCCTGTAGGTCCTTCCAAATTCTGAAGTCGTATCAAGAGGTTTTTCTGAAATTTCAGGTAATTTTCTGGTAGAAATAACCTCATTTTGTGAGCTTCTATCGTACTTCTTCTCTAGACTATTCTTTCTGTGTATCCTCTTTGACGAGTCAGAACAGTCAACTAAAACAAAAGAACAAATATTCAAGACTCTATTGTTACAACATGAAGTGGACTCAAGCCGCATTGAAATAACGAGTATCAAATCAACTGGAAGATGTTAACGAAACACGAGTCGTATATAGGAGTAATTCACTCATTAGACAATTCTGATGCTTGGTTACCTTTGCTTTAATTGGTTTTGTTATGATATGCAAAGCCAATCATTCCAGTATATTAATAGTTTCAAATGGCGAATTGGCCTCGCGACCCCTGCGGTTTTCAAATGTGCTTGTTCCTAATTAATTCTTTACTCTCAAACTTAAAACATATAGATTCGGTTACAATAAAACGTAACATATATACTCTTTACATTTTGGCTGTATTCCGTGTTCTTGAGAGACAGAGAATATCTCTCAAGAACGAGCAAAATAGCCATCTCTAATCAAATGTCAAACGACAATTAATTGGAACAAACTCGTATGTACACTAGCTGGCTTTTCAATTAGAATATAAACTACAAAATATACTCGGACCGAAAAAGCAATTGCGCACTCAATATTTTAGTAATAAACAAGACAATATACACGGTTGACTTGTTTTATTACTTTCTCAAATCCCAAGTGCACACAATGATTCATTTCCGAGTAGTTTTCTTCATAAGTTATATTTCCTAGTTAAATCGGCTGAAAATGATTCCCTTCAATTTCTCTATACCTAAAGCTCCATTAAACCATGAATAGAAAATCACACCAACAAAAAGGTAACTAAAAATCCTTCCATTTCTACGCAACATTGATCAATGCGTAAACTCCGTGAAGGAAATCCAAACAAAATCACTGAACATCACTGAACTTGAAACAGGTCAAAAATCCATATAAAACAAGGGAAATCGACCAGCAATTCTTTACAAAATAATACCCATAGTTCTTCTACGTGTCTGGCTGAGGTTTTCTAGTCCAGTGGACAGTCTTTGGTTGCTATAAAAGCTTTTATAAAGTGTAAAGATTCAATACTTAAAGATTTAATCTTGTACAGAGTGATGTCACGGTCGTGGAATCATGTCAGGGTGGCAACGTTGTATATTTTGGCTTCATACCGTCATGCTCACTACCCCATCTATAAATATAGTGTTCACGCTATATGTATACGGACGATTACTGTTCTCTCTGAGATGGAGTAGAACGACAGTTCATTAATTAGAGGTGTCCGCAGGATGGAAATCAGGTTAGAAAATGGAAGAAATAAAATTTGTTTTGGAAGAAGTGTAATTGGTAATTGAAATACAATCGAACCGTTAATTAACGGTTCTATAACCGTTAATTAACGGTTCTGTTTCTATCAAGCGAAAGGTTCGATTGCATTTTAAGGTGAAATAATTAGTATTTTTCAAAAAATATATTTGCCAAAATAAAATTAATAAAAAAGCCGATGGGTAAATGGTAATGGCATTTTAACGGGAACAAACGACAACTAACAGAGAGTTTCATAACGTGTCAATGGATCGGAATTATTTTATCAATTGGGAATTTTGTTTCTGCTCAACTATGGAACTAACATGGAGCTATTAGATTCTTGCGCTATCAAAGTCACGCGGGCTAAAAATGTAATTATTTGTCATGCAAGCACGTGGTCTTGGACATCCTGACACGCTAACGACGTCAAAAGAAAGACAATTATAATAAACTATTTACAGAATAAAATCACAAATATCAATAGAAATCTATTTACAAAGCTTGTATTAGAACAATAGCGTTCTGGTATAAATCCTCACAGATCATGGTTCGAGCTATGTCCTTGTTAGAAGATACCTTCTAATTAACAACTTAATTACCTACTAATTACTTTTTAGCAACTACATCAGTATAAAACAGTTACAAGTCTATATAATTATACAGTTGATTTAGTAAGGATAGCGTCGACAAGACGAACAATTGCATTTCTTTCTAATTGCACGAAGGACATTATCATTGCTAACTGAAGCTGGATAGAATTTATCTACAGTTTGGTGCATGTAGGCAAAATCAAGCTTGGGTGACGCTTCAGGAAACCCAAATGGAAACATAATTTTCCATTGTCTGCGATTGTGCTCAAATTTAACTTCAATATCCTTGGAATGAAGTCTTGAGATATCCACATTTCTTCCATTCAAGAACAAAGTGTTAATTTGAGTGCAGATTTTCCCAAATTTCTCTTCACCCTTTTCAGTCGCGAAGAACTTGGAAGTTGATGAAACTCTTGTTGGTGAAACTCTTGTTGGTGAACGACGGTCAACATAACGTGAATTTGGGCGTGTTAACGCAGACCTTTGTCTCCTTTGGCCTGCACTTGGACTTCGTCTTGTTGACAAACACCTAATGCAAAAACAATGATGTTTCAACTCTCTGACCACATCGTATGGTGATCCCAACGTAGCCACACACTTCTTTTGTCCATATCTGTCAATTTTCAATTCCACAACTTGACTTGAACTGACAAATTCTATGATCCAATCATGGCCATTATGATAAAATATAAGGTGTTTGGTTCTGCCTTTGGAAGTGGCTGTGTCCATAGCTCGTACTCTGCCGACATTGCTAGTAGTCTTTAAATAGGTTTCAATGTCACTTTTAATCTTTTGCACAATGGGTTTTCCAATTTCTGTATTGTACCAGGGTTGCTGTGGACTTTTAGATACCCTTCTCGACTGTGGTCGTTTGTCATGATCATAAGGAGAGTAACGGCCTTGTCTTGAACGAGAGACATGATGAACATCTTTTAAAGGAGGTGAGGGGTCTTGTTTTGGAGGAGAGGGGGATTGGACATTTTTTGAATGAATGTGTGGTGGGCTTCGTTTCGCACGAGAAGGTGAGTGGTCTCGTTTTGGAGAAGACAAGGGATGGTTGTCTTTTGAAGGAGAGTGTTGACAGTGAATAATTTTGTTTTGGCACTGATGACACCTACAGGCTTTTCTGATATCTCCGATGACATTTCTGGATGGAAAACCTTTTCCATAATGTGAATTGCTAATTAACGCTGGCTCATTATCAAACAATTCAGGAAAGTCGATGGTCCATTTCTGTCCGTAATGGGTGAACTCAATGGTAAGATTTTTGGAATATGTATTTCGAGAATAACCGATGTTGTTGGTCATAGTGGTCCTTATTTCTTGGTCAATTTCTTTCAGTTTAGCACCCCCTTCTTCAGTGTCATACCACTGTGTCGGTTGCTTGGTGTCGTGGTTTTCAGTGACTTGATGTTGTGGTTTTGTTGATTCTTGCAGAGTAACCTTGTGGTAATCTGGTGGGTCGACATCCATTGGCTCAGGAACACTATCGGTTGAAAAGTAGTTTTGATGCATTGGGTTTGACCGTGTGTTTTGATCGTGATGATGCTTTGACCATGTTGACGATTGGTTGAAGTTCTTGTCCACTTTCATTGAATGAGATTCATTATTAGTGTAAATGGTTTTAACATTTCCTGGGGCCGCACTTATTGGTTTAGACCGTGTTGACGGACGGTTGTGGTATTCTAATGGTGCTCTCGAAGAATACGCTTCCTTGGTTGACAGACATTGTTCTGCACCATTGGCAACAAGGGTCATAACATACCCCACTTCACGAAAAGGGCTTCCCCAAGAAATTATACTCACTTTGCCTTGTTTACAAACGTGTCCACCATCGGTAAACATGTACGGGTGAATAACAACAGATTGCCGACTCGACACTCCTTGTGTTATGTTTGCGATGATCATGATGTAGCGTTTAAGTCCTTCGGGAAAATTATTACACACTGTGCTACGATCCCCCGCACTGGGCTGCATCAGACTTAATTGATGGTGCGAATGCCAACTGCCGATATGACATAGCATATAGGAGGTATTAACATATGTACCGACACTGGCTAGGTAGTCTGTGTCTTGATGAAACGAAACCGAGGTACGTCTGCAGTTTTTCCCCGGCCCAATGATCAACTGAACAACAGGGTCGCCGTTGGCTTTCCATAAACCAAACAAATCACCTCCTGTCTCAATGTTTGGGTACCTCGAAACAAAATCAGTAATTTCTTTGAATTCACTTTCAAATATATTCAAGGCAAAAGTCATGTTCTACACACTGTTGTTAAATCAATCCGTTTAAATCACATAGAAATACAATTCAGCATAAAACCAGTTTCAACCAGATATAAAGCAAGACCAATTGCAGCTCTTGAAGCGAAAATCAAGCAGTTTAAACCATATAGAATACTAGAACCATTGGATGCAAAATCTTTGTAAAATATATTATTTTTTACGTGTCAAAATATTCTTTTATCGCAGTGGACAAAATACATCATTCCCGCTCAATGTCGTTAGGCCGTTTATGGTTTGAATTCAAACAAAATATTGTCGCTAAGCGCTTTCTCACAAAACGAAAGTAAAAGTGCAACAAGAATTTCCGTTTTTGGAAAAAGAAAGTCATTAATACGAGTTTACATCCGGTTATCCTAAAATGCTCTAACGTTTCAAAAATATTGTTAATTTTGTTTTTATTTAGTACTTACATATAATATCGTGGTTGTCTTCGTTTCGTTGTAGGATGACTTTGAACAGCGTTAAATTGTGTTTAAAATGTGGTAATTTTCAGTTTTGAATATTCCGCCATTTTGCCTTTCACTTGAAAACAGGAAGTGAGGAAAGTGAAAGGAACTCAAGATTGCTTCTATTTGAATTCCAAAATTAAGGAAAATTTTCATGAAGATCTTTTATATTGTATGATAAATAAAATTACCTCCTTATTAGATAGCTAAATTGTTTTAGGTTGCAATGGATTGTTATAAAATCAAGTATTGTTTTAAAAAGTTAAATATTTTGCAAGAGATAGTCAATTCTTTCCCAATAGTTTTTGAAGTACGCAAAAATTTCCTCCATATTTTTCACAAGTTTTCCTTTAATTTTCCTACTTTATAGAATGCTTCACAGTTCACACAGTTTTTTTAAAAGCATGCAACAAAACGGAGTTTGAAAAGAAATGCTCAATTCACAAAGTCGTTGGCTACGACAAGAATACAAAACGAACAAGGACAAATTCGAGAAGCCTTTTAAAATAACCATAGAGAACCGTGCTTCTGAAAGTGTGACAACCACCCAATTTATTCTGGACCAAAATTACAAGGGGTTAGGATGCACTGTTTGGGATGGTAGCATAGCACTTGCAAAAATGTTTGAAAACGACTTAGAACTTATAAAAAATCTTAAAAGGTTTAACGCATTAGAGTTAGGAGCTGGATGTGGGCTTGTAGGTCTAACTCTTGTACATCTTGGTGCAAAATTTGTTCTTTTGAGCGACATGGAAGTTTGCATGCCAACTCTGAAGGAAAATGTCATGAAAAACACCCAAACTTCAACGAGGGACAGTGTTCGGGTCATGCCATATATCTGGGGTGAGGCTACGACAGTGTTAACGAAACCACGTGGGAAGTTCGATATCATTGTTGCAGCAGAGGTGTTGTACGATGAAGCGGACTCAAGGCTTCTGGCGCAAAGTGCCATGCAGCTGCTTGATGAGGGCGGAGTCATGTTTGTTTCCATGGGAAGAAACCGTAATGGTGAAACCACATTTGTGGAAGCCATGAATAAGAATGGATATAGCATAATTGAAGTGAGTGTCTTGGTGTGCAGTTGCAGATGTTGAGAAATATCAAGCCCCCCTCGATATATTTACACATACTATTTCTTTTTAGGTTCCAAAGGAAAAGCTGCATCCCAAGTACCAAGATGAAATAATTAAAATCATAAAAGTGACAAAACAAACAAAATCTTGACACGACATTGACGTCATAGTTTATTTAGAATTTTTGTAATAAAAACAGTCTTGGAAGTATGAACCTTGTTTCAAACATAGACTTTCTATCATGATTTTATAAGTTTATGTTTATAAACTCACAATAATATCAATACCACACAACATGTATGCCTATTTCATCTGCAATATAATGCATTATATTTGCTGCAATATATCATTATATATAATTTCGCAAAACAGCTATTTGTATCCGGTTTTTTATATATATAGCCTCTTTGGGTACTTATAATGTAGAATAATGAGAAAAATTTCTCGAACTCAAATTTTGTGAACCAGGAGGGTGTGTCTTTTCCAACAAACTAAAAATGGCTCGCGCACAAAATTTAAAAGCTGCAATCATATTTTGAGTTAACAGATGGAACATTTGTCGGGATTTTAATTACTGTACAAAATTTCAGACAATTTGGTTTAGTTTAAGCCCCTTAACTATTCACGCAAAGTTACAATTTTCCCGAAAAATCAGCTATTTGCATGCTTAATTAATGCATTTGCCTAATTTGCATATGTCAGCAATATGCAAATTAGGTAAAGGCATTAATTAAGCATGCGAAAGGCTGACCTTTTAGAACAAAATGAATAGTTAAAGGGCTTAAACTAAACCAAATTGTCTGAAATTTTGTACAGTAATTAAAAACCCGACAAATTTTCAATCTATTAACTCAAAATATTATTACAGCTTTTAAATTTTGTGCGCGAGCCATTTTTAGTTTGTTGGAAAAGACACCCCCCCCTGGTTTACAAAATTTGAGTTCGAGAATTTTTTTTCATTATTTTACATTATAAGTACCCAAAGAAGCTATGTATATAAAAAACCAGATACAAATAGGTGTTTTGCGAAATTGAGAGCAATTTCAAATCTGTTCAGTTTTTTTTTATACACCCTGTATACTTCACCAGTATACAGAGTATATTTTGTATACATACTTTACAGTCGATTTCACGAAACATTGACCACAACTGAATTTTCCGAACTTCGTTGCGAAGTTCAAAAGTTCATAATGAGATTCACAAACCAGTTCGTAAACTACGCATTTGATTGGCTTCTTTTACTTCACGGACCAATCAGGGACTTTGTTTACAAATTGGCTTGTGAATTCCAATATGAGCTTCCGAACTTCGCAACGAACTTGCAAACTTCGCAACGAAGTTCGGAACATTTGTGGTCAAAGTTTCGTGAAATTGACTGTAATGTCATCATGCTCATCTATACCGGCATAATATATATGTCTATAGTCAAAACTGTATATGTTGTATATTCTCGCTTTTATTAACTTGCTATTGTCTGTATATACACAATATACATGTCTATAGTCAAAACTGTATATATTGTATATTCTCGCTTTTATCAACTTGATTGTAAATATGAATGCATGTTGATATGTATAAAGAAGCCTTGTTTTAACAGTTTTATAGTTATATTTATAGTCTTATAGTTATATTTATAGTTATATTTATATAAACTGGTCTAATAGTTATATTTATAAGTATAAGTCATAAAGTCATGTTTCCTCGTTTGATACATACGTTTCCTCGTTCTTAAAAAGATCCTGGTTTATACTGAATTTAAACTTAAAGACATGAGTAAACTGACATTCACTCAAACACTCCCTATACAGTACTGATAAACTATAATATACGTATATTGTGTATACAGTATACAGTATACACTATATATAGCTACACTTTGTCCTTTGACATTCACTCAAACACAGCTATATATACACTGTACACTTTTGACTATATATACTAATAATATACCTAGAGTATAATTATATTGTGTACATATGTACTTTTTGACATTCACTCAAACACTAGTCTGTATAGTTAAAAGTGTATACAGTGTATATAGTGATGTACTGATAATATATACGTTGTGTATATACACCATATATCCTACATATCTATAGTGTATACATATACATAATATACAGACTATATATACACTCTATTTAACAATTATACCATGAGCTCGAGTCGTATATGAGCTGATAGCCGACGAGGTGCGTAGCACCGAGTCGGCTATCAGCCATATACGACGAGAGCGAATGGTATAATTGTTTTATAATATAGTCTAATATAGCCATTAACTGAAGCAGTAATTAATTATTCACTGTTACAATGTGTTGACAATTTTTTTGGCCAAAAACCGCTTGAAAATTTGAAATACTTTTGTTTTACAATTCGAAGACGAAGTGAAAGAATGGTTTTAGAACCTCTATATCTCACAGGAAAGCTCAGATATATTATACAGATGTTTGGTACTATAGTAAGTGCTGGTTGACTGCAAATTCATTTGTCGTTCCTTGCAAACTTTTCTGAACAATTTATATTCTCAATGAACGTGTTTTTTCGCTGTTGTTTCGGTATTAATTCTTTAAAAAACTTGTATTTAAACTAATTTCTACGTAATAAATGAATTTTGCTAACCTGTCAAATTTTTTTGAGAGTTTTTCCTTGTAATATTATTATTCTCAAAGCGAATATTTTCCTTTTTCTGCTTCGCAAAACTCATGTAGTTTTTGGACCGCCATCTTGTTTTTCGCTATTCGCCGTATATGAGCTGATATACGGCGAGTAATTCAACCAATCAGATTGCAGAACAGCTCATATACGGTGGATGACTATATTATAAATACTATTTATACAATACTCAAAAGATATAAACTCCAATCTTTCAGTGTGGTGTTCGTCCAGGTCAGAAAATCTTCATAAGTCAGACTTTCTTCTGGCTGTCTCGTCCAATTCATTCACTGGCGCACAAGAAATATTTTTAATTTCCTCAAAGAGAATAGAGCTGTCGAAAATACTTTTGCACAAGCGGCGATCTGTATTTTTCGGCGAAGCGAAGCTATCAGCTGCGATGCGACACCACTGATAACAGGTTTTGAAGCGACAAAATAGCAACGGTAAGGCGCACGAGATATCAAATTACATGTTCGCATTCCATGTGGTTTTCTGTATGATTATAAATGTTTATGTTAATTCAGTGAAAATTTCATCCATTTCGGGTGTTAAATCTCGAAGCAACCAAATGTTTTCATATACACGCTGACATGTAAACAATATTATATAATACCTTATTAAATTCTAATCGTTTAATTGGCTGTTTATGGTCACGTGATATTGAATAGAAAATTCTATTTCCCAAGATTGCAATGGAACAAAATGGAACACGTTCCATTCAATGGAATGAAACGTATTGTACAATTGCACTCTTTGTGTTTTCGATAAATCGCATCCCTCAAAATGCTTCTCATACGAATCTATTAGTCTATTTTGGTATTATATAAAACAAATAATGAATGTTTCTTAGTGCAATGGTAAGAATATTTTGATTCGGTGAAAGATGGAATGTTCCATTCAACTCGACTGTCGCCTCGTTGAATGGAACATTCCATCTTTCACCTCATGAAAATATTCTTACCATTGCACTCATAAACATTCATTATTTGTATACTAAACTATAATAAAAAGCTCGCAAAACGTCCCAACGAACTCGTCATATTTTAACACTTCCAGGTCTTTGATTCGGATGAAAACCCGTGCGGATATCAGAAAATACCCAGAAATTGATCACAACTTGTAAAATTGAACGATTCTTTAATATTTTTGCAGAAATTCAACAAATTGTGCAAACGTAATTTTCCCACTCCTAATAGGAAATAGTATGGGAAATGGCGCTGGCCGCGCGCTCGCCCCAATGTGTTTGCACCCCCTGAGCCAATGGCGTCGGAAACCTCGAATCCCCCTATTGAAGCTGTCAGACTACAATACAATACTTAACAGGTTGTGGATAAAATTGAATTGGGAGGGTCTACATTTTTATTATACACCCTGTAGAACGCAGGCAAAAAGCAGCGAATTCCTGTGTTTGCGTTTCCCATCCTTCTAACTTTATTTACGTAACGGGAAAGCGTTTTACCGATAATTAAGAATAAAAGCAAACCTCCTCGATACTAGCCTGCGGTGCAGACGCTTCGTATTTCATGATGAAAGGGTTTAAACCCTTTCATCATGAAATACGAAGCGTCTGCACCGCAGGCTACCTCGATACCGATTTCCACTATTCACTTATTTTTAAGAAACGCGATTATGCATAACGGCCACACTGGGACGAAACTTTAAATTCTTAATTGGTCATAACAAATGTGTTATGCAGATTGATCGTTGTGAGGGAATTTCATAATCAGTAACAATCCTGGTAAACACTGGAATCGTCTAAAACAATTTTATCGTATTCTTACAAATGACTTAATAATATATTCATTCGCGTTCTCAACGGACTCAATTACTCAAACTTGCCTTTCTGGTCACTATTTTTTCCGTATGATGAATATGCGAGATGAATATTTAATTCATAAAACCCATCGTACTTTTCGCGCTTGGCTTTTACCTTGTAGCTTTGTCGGCGGACAACCTTATTGCAATTACCTGTATACAAAATATGCAAACTTCGCAAGGTAACAAGGGGGAATTTCGTTCTCGACCAATCAACGCATTTGTTGACAATTTCGCTCTAGGTGTAGTTTCCCTGCGAGCACAGAAAGTCCACTTCCGATAAAAACATACATCTTCAACAGAGAATATAGGGTCTTAAATAAAGCTTCGAGCGGGTCAAAATTTTTAATTTTTTGAATATTTTTTCTGTTGAAGATGTATGTTTTTTATCGGAAGTGGACTTTCTGTGCTCGCAGGAAACTACACCTACAGCGAAATTGTCAACAAATGCGTTGATTGGTTAAGAAAGAAATTCCCCCTTGTTACCTTGCGAAGTTTCCATATTTTGTATATGTTTGTAACAAGGGTGAATTTCGTTCTTGACCAATCAGCGCATTTGTTTCCGTTTTGGCTCTAAACCAATCAGAACGCACAAATCGCGAAGTCCATAAACAAACACAGGCCGTCACTTAATTTCGAGCTTTGTTGCAAGTGGATTCTTAATATTTTTCATGAAATCAAGATATCATGTTTCGCTCGCTACTCTGGTTTAATTTAAATAAATGATTATAAAGCCCAGTCAAATTGTAATCAAGGCCCAACGTTTCGACACTCCAGTCTAGTGTCTTCGTCAGGGGTGATCTAAAGTTGCAATCGTGGCAACAAGGGTGAATTTTGTTTTTGACCAATCAGAGCATTTGTTTACCTTTTGGCGCTAAGCGAATCAGAACGCGTACATTTTTACTACTTCCGGTTTAGACGCGTATTTCAACAATCTTATCCTGGCGTATGTACTCGAATAAATGCGTGTAAAGATATCACATTTCAAACTTCGCCATAAACTGATGAACAGGAATAGTGGCGTCAGCAATCGTTTTCATACGCCAGAATAAGAATCGTGTATGACTAGTCGTACCGTGTAGATGGGCCTTAAAAATTAAATTGCCTCTGGGATTTGCGTTTTATTGCATAGTTCTAAATTTATAGGTATTCGAACTTATGCGCTTTTTATACGCCGCTGTCCAATGCCAATAACTTCAAAACTAGACAATAAAACACAAATGCTTGCGGCAAATTTTTAGAAAATTTCTTATTTTACCTTGTCACGTTAAATCCAATCAAAAAATTTTGACCTCTCGCCCCCCAAGCTTTATGGAATATCTTATATTTTCTGTTCAAATGTGTGTTTTACCGGAAGTAGTA